CATATATAAAATCATGGACCATTAACCTTAGAAGGAGGCAGGAAGATCAGATAAAAAGGACATATATTCATGCAAATTTGTTACATTTTGCAGAACACATTTCTGTACAACAGTGAGAAACAATCAAGTTGTCAACAACACCCAAGAAGAAGGAAAGACGACCACACAGTCCGTGAGGCCGGGTGTTCCTAAAGAGGCTTGTTCAGAAAGTTTGTCACGGGCTCAGCAATGCCACTAAAGGTGGGAACGGTTGTGACAGTCCCACTGAATAAATGTTTCTAGGTCAAGTGACAACAGATGGTGTAATCTGTGCACTCATTGTGAAGGACTGCCAAGATGTCCGTTTGTCAGTACTCTCTGTTTTAATGTGTGTGTGTATGGGTGTGGGTACCCCAAGATATTGGGAATGCCAGAGCCATGGGGTACCAGGCAAGGAAAGCTGCTGACAGGGAATGGAACCATCCCAAGAGAAAGAAGTATGTTGCTGTTAACAAAGTTGAAAAGAGTTGGAGGTCTGAAGAACATTTTGATATCAGACATGGAGATGAATGTTTGGAGTTTGTCTAGCTGGTTTTCAGTCTTGCTATGGTCCAGTATTTCCTCACAATGCTCATCTCCCTATATTTTGGAACAGTTTTGTATATCCTATGCCATTATATGTTGGAAGTATGTGATTTGTTTTTTTATTTTTTTATTTTTATTTTATAAGAGATTATAGTTAAGAGATTGCATGAATTTCAGAAGAGACTTTGAACTTTGGACTTCAAAACATTGCTGAGACTGATAGACTATGGGGACTTTGAAGCGGGACTAAATGCATTTTGCATTATAATATTATTACAAGCTTATGGGGGCCAGGGAGTGGAATGTGGTAGTTTGAATGTAATTGGCCCTCATAAGCTCCTAAGGAGTGGCACTCTGAGGAATGTGGCCTTGTTGGAGTGGGTGTGGCCTTGTTGGAGGAAGTGTGTCACTGTGGAGGCGGCCTTTGAGGTCTCATATCTGCTTAACCCACATCCAGCATTTCAGTTCACTTTCTGTTGCCTGCGCAAGATGTGGAACTCTCTCTCAGCTGTCTCTCCAGCACCATGTCTGTCTGCACGCCACCATGTCCCACTATGAAGATAATGGACTGAAATGAACCACTCAACTGTAAGCCACCCAATTAAAAGTTTTCCTTTAAACTAAACCTAGTCCACCTTGCTGTGGCAGGAAATGGCTTGGGCCACAGAGGCCCAGTCAGCTCTGGCACCTTGAGGGGCTCAGGCGTGAGGTCACAGCTGTGCCCCGACACAGCCGCTTTCTCATGCCTGAGAAAACCAGCCCGCCTTGGGGCCGCACACCCACCCTCTCAGGCCGCCAGTCTGCCTCTAGAGCTGCAGGTGAGCCAGGCAATCAGCACTGCAGGCTTCCTACCCTGTGCAGGAGCTGGGGCACCCCCCCCCCACCCTTATAATCCAGTGACATGATTCTCCCACGTCCCCGGCCAGCCCAGGGGCCCCAGGCCATCCTTAGCTGCCGAGCCTCATGTGACCTTTGTATTCTATTCTGTGCAGTCACAGACACCTGTGCCTAGCAATATTTCCGCTTGTCCAAATACCCGAATCTTTTTCCATTTATATGCAAAAGATAGAGTTTTAAGTAACCTTTGGTGGCAATGATACAATGGTACGTGTGTACTCTAAGCTTCCATGTCCATGCGCTTGTCCCCTCCTTCCCGGTGACCAACTTGAGGGGGAGCCCAGGCCAGTGCTGCCTCTGCCTGGGGTAAAAGCTCTGAGACCAGTGGACTCCTGCCTTCAAATTTTGGACCAAAGTTTTGTTTTGTGCCTGACTCTGACTAGGCCCAGGTGAGGGGCTGACCTCTAGGCTATAACGCCCTCCCCAAATACACCCATTGTGCCTAGCCTGTCTCTATGGGAGGGGTTCCCTGGACTTTGGTTCTGTGAAGGAGTGGCAAGAGTGTAAATATTTATGATTCTCATACCTGTGTGGGGCTGAGGTGGTGCAGCAGTTTTTTTTTAATAGTGACAGATATATATTTTGGTAACAACTACAGGCTCAGTATTGCCATGGGGCCAACCCTGGCCACATTCCACCCTGCCCCAGATGGTGTGTTGAGGGGAGTTTCCATTAAAGCAGTTTTCTAATCTGAAAAAAAAAAAGTTTTCTTTTATAAGAGTTGCCGTGATCATGGTGTCTCTTCACAGCAATAGAAACCCTAAGACAGATAGTGTATAGAGTATGTAATATTAACATAGTAATACCATTGTTAAGTTCCTAGATGTTAGTGCTAGCAGAAAACAATGATAGAAGAGGAAGACCCAGAATAAACATTTACTTCAGTTAGATGGAGACTGTGCTCCGTGGGGAAGAGCATTGTGGGCAACTCCAGACTGCTCTAGAGACTGATGTCATCATCTCAGACTTCACCTTTATAAAAGCTACGGACAAAACAGCATGACCAGGATGCCAGGGAGTCCTGTGATGGACTCTCTCTGTGGGCTTCTGTACAACATGGTTTGTTTATTAGGTACAGAGGTTATGTCTGGAATCACGGACAGGAACCAAGGATAACCTGCCTCTTATCTAGTGCCCAGCCAGCAAAAGCTCAGGTGAGGGTTAACCGTGGCAGAGAATCAGTCCCCAGACAGCCACCAGGTAAGAAGCTGATGTCAACGGTCCCCACTCCACCTCAGTGAGTGGCTTTGTCCAGGCTTTACCGTTTGTCTTCTCCCCACATGCAAACATCAGAATAGTCCTGACTGACACCTAATTTGATACCAGTAAGCTCTTAATTGTCTTTTAATTCAACTTTTCATTTCACTGTTTATCATAAAAAATGTTCCCAGTAAACGGGGTTGGAGAGATGGCTCTGTGGTTGAGAACATTCGCTGCTTTTTGAGAGGACCTGAGTTCGATTCCCAGCACCCCATGTTGGGTGGATCACAACCACCTGTAACTCCAGTTCCAGAGAAGCCAACATCTTCTGGCCTCCGGGAGCACTCACACATGTGTTGCAGACACACTACACGTAAATAAAAAGTAATCAAAAATAAGATCTTAACATGTTCCCAATGTTGAGGGTGGTTTCCCCACCTTCCCAGTTTCTGCCCTGAAACAATGACTCCTGCGATATAAACAAACAACAACCTTCAGTCTGTCTGCATAATAGGAACAGCAACAGTTGGTATGTTTTCAAAAGCCCCGGACTGCAGACTGTGAGTTAGAAATGAATCTGATCACCCTCCTTTAATGTCTCCTATCATCTCAATAGCCTACGACTTGTAATTAGCCTGCTTTCAGGCTTGGCGGGAAATCTTGAGCATACATGTGCCTTTGGGATCTTACAGAGTAGAAGAGCTGGACTGGGTACAATTTGGATTGTGTGACCTGATGATAGCTGGTGACCGAAGCTAAGTACATTTTCCTCACACTGTTAGGGTCGCCCCCGTTTGTAGGACAGGTCTTCCCAGCCTGTGAAGTGACTCACTAAAGACCATGCCTCACCTCCACTAACTCATGGACTCTTTCTTCCTAAAACAGCTGTGGCCTAAATGGCTACTGTGAAAACAAAGTCAGATAATTAGTAAGAACTATACCCAGTGCCTGGATCAATTTCCAAGAAGTGTATCATAAAGGGTGGACAAGACACCTTTCTTGATGTCACTCCTTCTGAGGAACCGTCTGACAGAATTGGGACACAGAGCCCAAGGGACTGAGAGTGCAAGGCAATTACCTAAATGACTTTGACAGGAAGGTATGTGTGGCCTCTCAAAGTCACCCACTATGAACAGAGGAGGAGTCTCAATGCCTTGTCTCATGTTAGCAATTAGTGAGAGTATCTCTAGACACACACGTGGACTCGCTACAAAAACGAACAATTTCATTGCTGGGAAAAAAGGCTCGTGTGTATTATTAGTATTACTATGTAGATGCACAATTTCCTTCCTGCTTTGCATAGGAGACAGTCTTTCCTCTGCCTAAGATGAGTTCTTTCCTGTACTATGCAGTGTTTAATTTTTTTTTTTCAGTCTGGATAAATGGCTCAGGAGTTAAGAGCACGGGCTGCTCTTGCAAAGGATCAGAGTTTAGTTCCAGCCCTCAACTGGTGACTCACAACCACTCAGAACTCCCGTCCAGGAAATCTGACGCCCTCCTCTGCCCTCCTCAGGCATTGCACCTGCATGGTGCACAGACATACATGCAGGCCAGACACCATCCACATAAAATAAAAGTAAAAAAAAAAATCTTTAAAAATTACATTAATTCAGCCGGGCGGTGGTGGCGCACGCCTTTAATCCCAGCACTCGGGAGGCAGAGCCAGGCGAATCTCTGTGAGTTCGAGGCCAGCCTGGGCTACCAAGTGAGTTTCAGGAAAGGCGCAAAGCTACGCAGAGAAACCCTGTCTCGAAAAACCGAAAAAAAAAAAATTACATTAATTCATTTATTTTACAATTACTTATCATTTACTTATTTTATGCTTATTCACATGGCATACATGTGGAGGTCAGAAGACAGCTTTCTTTCTGCCATGAGGGTTCCCAGAATCAAATTCCTGTCCTGAGACATGGTGGCAAGCCTCTTCACCCACCGACGCCAGCTCTGTGTGGTGGTATTGACACAGCTGTTATAATTCTATATGTATTTTCTGCTTTAACTTTTGTATTAGATTGTATTTATTAATGTTGTGTGTGTGTGCGTGCCTGTGTGGGTGCACATCTGCCACAGCACATGTGTGGAGGTCAGAGGGCATTTTCAGGAGCTGTCTGTCACCATGTGGACCCCAGTGATCTGACTCCGGGGGTCAGGCTTGGCAGCAGGCTCCCTTGCCCACTGAGCTGTCCATCTCACCAGCCCTCTAACCCTGCGCTTCTGCAACAGTATTCTTACTAAGCTGCACAACGTCCGCTCATCTTGGAAGAGCAGACACAAAGTACACAGAGAACTGAGAAGGAAACAGCAAACATACTTCATAGAAATAAAAGGACTTCACAAACTGCATTGAAAAAAATCCCATTTTATTCACAGGGTACATTTCCAAATATGCTCCAAGGAAGGGAGGTAGAGAACTGAGACCAGTTAATCTTCTCACTGCTAGCCATGGTTCATGATCACAGCAAAGAAAAGACATTTTTCCAGTGACCCTCTGGGCACATCACTGTTCATCTCAGCCAACAGATAGGCACCATTTTTTTTCAAGTCACACCATAAAAAGTACCAATTAAACCTATTTTCTTACCTGCTACATTTTATATAAAATTCTTAAAAAGAAAAGAAATGAAGAGCACTGGGTTACCCCACACTTGCTGTCAATCAAATTTGGCTTTAATAGAAGGACGCCACTCTGCAAACACTTCAAAGGTTGACTTCAATTTTATAGTCTGATCTAAAAGCTCTAGAATTATTAGATCCATGGACCAGTAGACAGTACATGAGAAAGAATATTTAAAATTTTCTACTTTAACTCTTCCCCAACCTCTGAAAATATGCACTGATAGAACAGCTTGCATGCCTGTGGAATAGTCTGGAATGAGCAATGATAGAGGCTAAAGGTAAAAATATTCCCCAATATTTTGCAGATCACAGTATGCTGCATGGTAACTATTAGTCTAGTAATATTATAGAGCTTTGTAAAGATGAAGCAGGCTTTAGAATTGTGTGTTGCATGTCTTTTCTCTCCCCTCCTCATATGTAGTGTCTTTATGGTGCACCACGGTAGCCATCAGTCACCCTAACTGTGGAGAGAGAAGCCTGTCAGTGCTGACGACAGGATGGAAAACAGCAATAGGTTGGTTCCTTGCTTCTGTGAATACTGGAATTTTCTGGAAAAACATTCTTAACTCTAGGAATCTTCCTGTAGCTATCACCTAAAAGACCTTAGAAAAATGTTCCACAACTGAGCAAAGGATATTTACACACCATTATCAGACTTCTCCAAGGCCTATATACTATCATGAATTTCTATAAAATAGTCCCATTTGCTACATTTAAAAGGGTCTTGCTGATGATAAAGGTACAAGTTGGACAGACATGGAAACATCTGCAAAGCAACAAACACATGAAGGGAATATGTAAGTGGGGAGCCGAGCCAGGAAAAGTTAAGGCACCCTCTGCCACTCCCCAACATTACGTTACTTTCTATTTTCTGTGGGCATAAATAATATAAGGGAGGAGGGAGATAGGGAGGGAGGGAGAAAGATTGAACTGAAACATGAAGGATAATGAATCTAGGTTGCCATCGCCTCTCTTGGGAATCATTGTGGGGACAGGAAGCTAACAGTAACTCTTGCTATGTGCAGTGTATAGTGACCACATCCACCAGTCAACATCAGGGTGATATTTACCACCATCACTGTATCATCTTGACAGGAGAGCTAAATTATAACTCACCTTGAGAGTACGAATCAAAAGGCAGGTGACAGAGGGATATGGAGGTGTTTGCTTCACTGAACACAGGCACCCAGGAGGGCACTGCCTGGTGGGCGGCACAGGAACCTGAGGCCTCCAAGACCTCCAAGATCCACATGAGAAAACAGGTACCAGCTTCGAGTCTTCCCCACAACAGCCTCGCAATCCATGCTCATGGTCCATCTAGCATCTTTTCATCCTAACCCTAATGATGGCATGGCAACACACTCCCTTTCAGTTACCTTGAAACCATTCCGTTCTTGCAAATGCATTCTAAGACAACAATCCCTTCCTTTCTGTCTGCCGAGCTTCCTTCTGAGGCTGAGACCCCTCCCAATAGGTCCTTTGCAGTGGAGAAAAAAAATCAATATTTGCTCTTAGTTCTCATTTTGGTCACATATTTTCTCTATTGCATTTTTTTCTTTCTGTTACTATACAGAGAAATCCAGAATTCCATGAATCCAGTTTTCTCTGTTTTGGACTAAGTCACATCTCTTGGTGTTTACTGTTATTGCATGAAACATACATTTGAAAGTGATAGTTACCTGGAGGAGTCGAATTATACAGAAGCTGGAAGAAACATGGTCACTATATTTGGGTATTACACCATAAAACTCTTGGACAACATTGTGTCATTGATTGAATCCCCAAGTTTTGATTGAAAAGCAAAACCAAGAAGGCTTTTAACACAGCAGTGAAACTGAGAGTCATAGGCAAATGAGCAACCATAAAATATAATTCCTCTTTTGTGCCCTATCAAGTGGTAGTCAAGGGCTTTGGCTCAAGTGCTCATGATATTATAATTCACTTCAATATGTTTGTTTCTCTGTGTTAAAGGAAGAAGAAACTACAAATATCAGCAACAGAGAGAAAACCCAAACAAGGAAACAGAAGCATGTTTCTTCCTTGTTCAACGAGAAAGGTTAGATAGTATGAATAGTATGAATGACCTTTCCATTCATACACACACGTCAATCATTCATCTCTGGGATGTATGTGAAAATGTCAAATGGCACATTAAGGCTGAGAATAAGGCAGATACTATTCATATGTGTATGTGTGTGTGTGTGTGTGTGTGTGATGTTCACAAATTTAAGACTCTCTCCCTTATAAAACAGAAACTGTATAGGGCCTCACATTTAAAGACTAAATGTGGACTCTGGGCTTTAGAAGTTCATGATTTCAAAGACACAGCACAGGAACTATGGGATATTTGCTATCTCCATAGCTTTGGGGATTCAGAAAGTTCATCTGTGTACACAGAGACTAGAGCTCTACTCCTCATGATCATATGCAGGGCTGCAACTGGGTCAAGGTGACCAGACTCTGCCATGGGAGCGCTTTGATTAGAAAGTGCAAGCTTAGGCACGGCAGTTCCTAAGGTGAAGACCCCTCAGTGCACTGGTGACTGATGTTCTCATTAGATCCCTCCTGACAAGGATTTGCCAGCAAAAAATTCCACACAGCTGATATTTTTCAAACATAGAAATTAAAACTATAGATGACTGGCTTCCCAACAAAGCAGCAGAAAGGGCACTACCTGAACACCTGCCACTTTAGAGAATGAATTCTCTACCTTTATTAAGATGCATTCACTTATTATGTGTATGTATATGATCCCACTTGCATGCAGTGTCCATGGAGGCCAGAAGAGAACACCAGATCCCTTGGAACTGGAGTGACAGGCAGCTGCACAGGGAAGCACGTGTCAGGAACTGAACAGTCAGCACTCTTAAGGGCCGACAAGGCCCTCCTTCTGCTCACTTCCTTTGACGAAGTCATAAAAGTGAACAAGCTAGCTCAAGCACATGATTTTTATGCACTTTTGTGAAGCACTATATAGTGAGTATATGGGTCCACAGTAATCATCTGTGAAAAGATCTTTCACATACAAGCTTTATCTCTGGTGGGATAACTTACTTTCCATCTGGCATAATTTTTAGTGAAGTGTGATTGAAATCAAATAGCAGCCATCCTCACTCAGGAGCTTGAGAACCAAAGCAATTCTCAAGCTGCAGTTGACTAAAATGGAAGTTCCTATCTGGGTGCTCATTTGCAGTCTCTGCATCCTTTCCTGTCCCCACCCCCATGAAGCAATCTTACTTTTGTCTGTCTGTCTGTCTGTCTGTCTGTCTGTCTCTCTCTCTCTCTGTCTCCCTCTGTCTCTCTGTCTCTCTTTGTCTCTGTCTCTCATGTACACTGCCATGCATGCACACATACACACATTTAAAGCATTGGTCTAATTGGTGGTAGAGAAGGGGCATCATCCCTTGCCAGATGCACTGAACTGAATTAAATCCTTTTTATTGAACATGTCCACCATAATGCAAATCCCTTCTGTCTAACCATTAAAGGTCAAATACATTAATGGACCAGGCCCAGAGCTGAAGGCCTTAATTTCAATAAGTAGAATTGAATAATAAACAATCTCCTAAGGGTACTCCAGAATGTTCTACAGGACAATTCTGGAGAGGTTTCTATGTAGGAACATATATTTTACTAAAAATAATGTAAATACACACACACACACACACACACACACACACACACACACACACACAGAGGGGGTGGTGAGACCTACCTCTTGCTTAACTACATCATCTAACCAAACACACAAAAAGTTATACATATAACACACCTATGAATTGTCACTATAAAATAAAGGTTGCAGCAATGCTGTTTGCGACATGAACATTGTACCTATGTCCTAAAAGGCAGACAGTATGAGCAGTCAAACTTTCCTTTTGGTCTACCTTGGGGTTTCTCAGTTTTCACGCTACTGACATTTCTCTGGGTCGTTCTCTGTGGTAAGCGGCTGACCTGCTGCTGTTGGTCCACTATCCATGGCTGTTTCCTACCACAAGCAGCTGGCATTCCTGGTCATAACAATGAAAAATGTCCTCAGGTGTTGGCTCATGGCACCTGAGGGGCAGGGAAGTCGGCGCAGGTGGAAGCACAGGTCAGCTGACAGTGTTGATCATCTCCATTCCGCAATTCAGATGCCATGCAGAACAACTTTACAATTCATAGACTAAACACACAAGTCTCTTACACGGACCTGTTCCAGGAACTGTAGTGAGAGTTCAGACTCCCAGACAGCATTCTCCGTGAACCGTGATGTGTGGATTTTATGAGCTGCTTCTTCAGATTTTGACCAATTAATGCATTCATCTGAATGCACACTTAATTAATCTTTGTATTTGTTGTTTTCTTAGACCTTTTACACTTTTAATAAATCTATTGGTAAAAATGTATTCTTTCTTAGGTAATTACTAACTTCTAGTCACTCAAAACAGGGATTATATTCAGGGTTGGACAGACAGGACTAACACAACTCAACCTGCCTTCCTGATACCCTGATGCTGCCGCACAGGATAGAAACACTAAGCCAGCCCTGCACAGTGGTGAGCTTCCCAAGCTCTTCATTCTCTAAACATCGCCACAAGCTGTGCACCATCGTGGCACCTCGTGCCGGTCCAAATGCTGATTTCTAGAATGACCTGGATATTTAACCACATTTGGAAACCCCCTGCCCCTAGATGAACAACTCCTCAACAACTCTGATATCTTATAAGTTAGCCTTCTTTTTAAAGCCCCCTGTCTTCATAGACATGCTCAATATACTAAGTTTCTATCTTCACGGTGCAGAAGAGCTTGTGGGTTGATTTTGCCTACATCATGACAACACTTGAAAGAATAAGCGTGAGTCTTCACATCTCCTTGGAGCCTAACACGCCTCAAAGCACAAACACTATGAAAGATGTCCCTGCTTGTCCCTTACCTCCAGTAAACACATTTGGCCGTAATCTGCAAGCAGAGTGCCCCTGCCGTGTTGTGTTAGAGCTGCTGTGCCAAGCTGCCCAGCAGCCCCACCTGACACTGAGGAAGTCCACAGCTAGTGGCTCCTACCTGCTCACCTGTGTGAGCCACGTCACATGTCACTGTGCTCAACACAAGGCCCATTCATGAGGTTTGGGGGGGAGGAGGCAGCATGAGTAAGAGGGCAGTTTTCATTCTGGATTGTGTATTCGAGGGTAAAGCTTGCACCCTGTGCTGGCATGCAAACTGACAGCAACTGCTGTGCCGGCTCAACTGACGTCAATGTGGGATGGACTCCGTACTCTATCTCTGCAGCTCTCCAACACCAGGCCATGCGCACTCAGTTTTCATAGTCACATGAGAATAATCTTTGATTACTTTGTATAGTGTGTCCGAGTGTATGTGTCTATATTTATGTGTGCATACACACATTATCTTGAAAGAAAACATTCATATGTGCACACGCATGAGTTATCTTGAAGGGAAATATTCATGTTAAAGAGGAAAGGGCCCCCTGCCTTCTGGTCTGTCAAGTTCTTACTCGCTGTGACCTATTTCAGCTCTCATTAAAGGAAGACACTTTTGCCACTTTACAAGTAAAGAATGTACTTGCACGTGTAGTGATTTTTTGAAAATAATAGCAACACAGCCAATGGGTTGATGTAATGGGGACCTAAAATTGAGTTTCTCTCTCAATTTCTGAAGAGAGGAAGTGTCTCATGTTATCTAGACTATGAATCAACACAGTCTAACTTCAACAGAGCTTCATGCTAAATAGCTTAACCAAAGAGGCAAGAAGCAATTCTTATTTAAAACTGTACTAGTGGAGGGGACTATAGTCAACATAGACTTGTTTTAATGAATCACAAAAATCAGCAGGAAGGATTTTGTAAGTCTACCCCATCACCCACCCATAGCCCTAAACAGGGCAAAAATAAATAATAATTTTTAAAAACCTACAGTTCTAATGCCAGTCTCAATAAGACAGGTCTTTTAAAATGACTATGATGCCAGTGTATATTAACAGTCAGCAATACCCCAGCATCTCCCACATGCTGCCATGATGAGCCCCTCAGCCTCAGCAATGAGAGTTCATCTGGTCCTTGAATTGCATCTTCTAGATTTGAACCACAGACACATGATCTGCTAGCAACATCTCCTTGGTGTTGTCCCAGTTGCAAATCCACAGCATGATATAAAATGTTCCCCCAGAACATTTTACTTCTTATTGTTCTCCAAGCCAACATCAAAAGCAAAGTTTTGCTTGGGTTTTTGTTTGTTTCCTATCATGCCAATCCATGACATACTTTGGCCATTCCTTTTAGAAGTCACATAGAAAACCTAGCAAAAAATACCCGACCCGGTCCTTTCTTCTTTTATGGTCCCTAGGAAGTGGGCTGAAGTGATGGTTCCTCGCATGGGTCTAGCTGCATCCTCAGTGCACCAATTTTATGAAGGTACCAGAGTTGGAGAAATTCCTCAGGCATGGCATGGAAGCCTGAGTAGGGCAAGACATTGTCGTAGTAGTGGTGACTAATGGGCTCCTCCTGCAAATTCACAGAGAAGGGCCAGAAGCCATAGATGGCCACCTCCTCACAAAGGCCCAAGGCTGCGCTCACCAGAAAGAGTCCTGTAGACAGGCGCTTGGCATGGATCCCCCTGCTCTTCCAGAACTTTCCAATGTTCCGTAGAAAGTTAGGGTTAGCAAAAAGCACTGTTTGATTGGCACCAACATCTTTCAGTGTGTAATACACACGGAGAGAGGGCTCTGTTCCCGTCTTCATAGAGAAGGCAGGCATGTAAATAAAGCTGTGGTTATAAATCTTCATGCTGTCCACGAACGTCTTTCTGGACCACAGCAGGTTTTGAAACCTACGGAAAATAAAAGGCTCAATTAAACCTAAGAAACACAAACGCATCAAAGTCCACTCACCCTGTCCTCTGATGGTTGAAGTTCTCAAACCGAACACACACATACACACACACATACACATCACTTCACTTGGAACTTCTCATCAGCTACCTCGACTCATCAAACAATCCTACCTTGAACTCATTAACATTCCTTGATGAAGCTCTCCTAAACTAACATGAACTGTATAGTGTGTTTGTGCCTGGAATGTAAAATGATTTAACACTCATAAATTTGTAAAGATTGCTGGCTGGGGTGGTGTTGGTGGCAAAAAGCTCCATGTGTGATCTGATGGGAACAAAACCGGTTTCCTCATCTGAAGATGAAAAGGAATCACTTGTAAGACAATTTTCCCTATCAAAATCCCATGTTCTAGAAGTCTTCAGGTGGCCAGTGCTCTGTGAGACTACATGGGAAACCGGAGCCTGTTGCTGCTGTAGCTCCATGCAGAGAGCTGCCCACATCCCTGTCTGGAGAATTCTGCTTGCCTCTGCTCATCCAGGGCTATCTGTGGAGAGAATCTCTGATTCGAATGGATGCAACTAAAATGTATGGAAGCCCTCCTGTGTGCCAGACATGAGAGAAATACAATCAATAGCTTGTTTGTGATCTCACTTACCTTTTATTGACCTTACATGTGCATGTACCTATGGGCAGACTGCACATTGGGGTGGGGGTCAGAGGGCAACCGCAGCTGTCAGGCCTCACCTCCCACCTTGACTTTCAGACGGTGTTTCTGGTTCTTGTTGTTTGCCACTGTGTAAGCCAGGCTGGCTGCCCACAGAGCTTCTGGGGATTCTCTTGTCTCTGTCCCGCATCTCACTATGGGAGCTCTGGGATTACGATGCCTGCTGCTGTTCCCAGGTTTATGTGGGTTCTGGAAATTTGGACTCCAGTCCTCATACTTAACTCACCAAGCCATCTTCTCAGGCCTATGCCTCATTTTTAAAATTTATTCTTCTCTCATATGTTACATCCTGACCACACATTCCCCTCCTTCCACCTCTCCCAGCTGCCCCACTCACAACCTTCCTTCTCCCTGAGAGCCGCTCCTCTTCTGTTTCCCTTCAGAAAAGAGCAGGCCTCCCGTTGACATCAACTGAACACGGCCTAACACATCACAATAAGACCAGGCACAAACCCTCATATCAAAATGCCTCGTGTTTCAAGTCAAGAAATCTTAAGTCCAGTTAAGGAACCAGAAGTGTAACAAATACAACATAATGTTCCAAATGCCACACTTGATAGATCTACCAAGTACCATAGAATGCAGGGGGAAAAACAAATCAGTAATGATTTGGAAGAGAGAGTGGGGTCAGAGAAAGCTAGAGAATGGATCACACCTCAAGACATCAGGCTAGGGAAACAAGAAGAGAAGAGAAGGTCCTAGGTAGGAGAGCACAAAGTGCGGCACATTTAGGAAGGCGAGCTGCTCCTGGAACGTGGGAGGTGGGCATGGTTCGGACAGTGGCTGAAGATATGGCATGTTGTAAAATATCTTCCTTATCTCTACTATGTTGATCTTATTGTCACCCTGTGGTGAGAGGCCCCTCATGCCCCAGTGACTGCCCACAGTGTGTATCACAGCGTCCGGCTGCCAGAGGTTGAGGAGATACCCTTAGGAAGTAAGAGGCTAGCAGCTGGGAGACCAGATAAGACACTGCTGATGCAGCATAAGTAAAAATGAAAAGAAAGGGGAAGGAGGGAAGGAAGAGGAGGAGGTGGGAGGGGTAGAGAGGGAAGTGAGCAGAGGAGAGCAATGAACTAGTACAGGACTTCTTAGGTCAGTTGTTCTGTCTCAGGCTCTCTGAGGGTAGAGCAGCAGTATCTATGGGAATGGAGTCATAGCTAGCAGAGGCAAATTAGGCTTACAGATATGTGAGATTCACTGTGAATACAACAAATCCAAAACACTGTGGCAATCATGATTCTTTATCTGCCAAGAAAGGAAGGGGTGCTTCTCAAGCCCAGAGGGATGACCTTTCAGACTCAGCACATCCTTGACCCAGAAACCACATGAGCCATTTCCCCAGGGCACTGTCCAAGGGAGAAGTGATGGTAGTGTCTACAGGTAGTCACTTACCTTAGGGCAGTGGTTCTCAGCCTTCCTAAAGCTTCAACATTTTAATACAGTTCCTCATGTTGTGTTGACTCAACCATAAAATTATTTTCATCTCTGCTTCAGAACTGTAATTTTGCTACTGTTATGAGTCATAATGCAAATATCTGATATGCAGGACGTCTGATATGTGATTCCCACAGGCTGAGAACCACTGCTATAAAGGATTCTAAGGAAATACATTTTCTAGAGTGGTGCCTTACTCTGTTGCATGAATTCCCAAGCTGGACACGGGCTTGGCTCAGCAATTTCATCATGTCTCCTCTTGCCTGCCCACATCTTTGCCCTTCCTAAAATCATAAATACCTTCCCAGTGATGCAGAAACACCACACAGAGGACCTAACTTGTAGGTCCTTGGACTTTGGCTAGAATAACCTACCGAGTTTGCTTGTACCCCACTGTCTGGAGTTCTGGTCCATGGGTGGACTTTTATATCCATCACTCTCTGAGTCTGAAATCACTCACTTAGAAGATGCAATGGTTAATCATCATTGCTAATTTGAATGCATTTATATTCAACGTGGAAACACACTTCTGTGTGTATCTATGAAGGTGTTTCCAGAAAAGTTTGTGTAAGCAGAGAAGACTCACCCTGAATGTGGGCAACACTAGTCCATGCTCTGAGGTGGATTTCCCAACTTTAACCTTTCCCTTTCCTATCTTTAGGGAATCACTCTCTCTGGCTTCTAGACATAGGAACTCCTCCACCAGCTTTATTGACCAGTATTTGGCAGTTCAAAAAATGTCTTTATTCTAAGTATACAATGCAATCTTGGTGCATGGATACATGTGAAATGATTACTGCAATAGTTAGAATTTGATTAAAAATAGTTCTTGATATACCCACCCTGTGAGACATTCTGTCTCTCATCTGACATCAGTATCCTGGGACAGGATCCTTTCACCGCCTTTCCGATTTACTATGCTGTGGCTCCGTTCCCAGTGATGCTCTGGGTTTCCCGTGAAAACCCAATCTAAACATTTAAAGCTAACCCCTTCATTCTCTTAACCTTTCAAAGGTCTTCTCTGGCTTCTGTGGTGACTCAAGCCTGGAATCCCAGAACTGGGTGGTCTGAAGGAGGAGGAAAACCAGGATCTGGACACTAACCTAGGCTGCATAGTAAGTTCCAGGCCAGCCTGAGCTACAGAATGGGAGACTGTTTCTCAGAAAATACAGCATATGGTGGAAAAGATTGTGCAGTGGGTACAGGTACTGACTATTCAGCCTGGAAACCAAACTTCAGTCCAGGGAACCACCTGGTGATGGAGAGAACTGACTGTGGCACATGTGCCTTCCTGAGCACGAATTCACAATGAATCCATAAATAAATAAACACAGAACAACAGCACTAATGATTAAAATCATAAAAGTTGTTGAATTTCTCAGTAAGAATCAATATATCTGTTAAGACTATATACTCACTGGAAGACGTGAACTAGTCTAATCAACCCTTCACATTTTATAATCTAGCTCAGAAGAGCTGTGTATCATATATTAAAATTAAATGGAGATAAAAAACCAATAATGTTTTGCTCATGCCTGTAAGCTGAGTATTCAAGGCTGAGGAGGGAGGGTTACTTGAGTTTGAGGCCAGCTGGAAATACACAGAAAATTCCAGGCCATCCTGGGCTGCAAATCCAGACCTTGTCTTAAAAGCAAAATAAAACTTTAAAACCATGAAAATTAAATTTTTATTTAATAAAAACTGAGATATTTGGAAGTTTGAGGAATAAAGTCATGCCTCACAAGAAAATTCCAACATAATTTCCAGATGAGCAAGACAGTGATCAGAAATACAGATAAAATAATAGAAGAGCAAAAGAAAACCTGGGGACTCAGAAAAAACTAACAAAATCGCTGCTGTCAGGAAGTGAAAAGCTATTGCCATGAAAACCAGATGGCTACCATAGAAAGGATGTGACTCTAAAGTATTTACAGCAAAGTCGATAAGTGGCGGGACGCTGGAGGGAATTCCGACCTGCAGCACCGGCATGGGACGTACCCCAAGCTTCAGTTAATGAGTGTGTTAAAGTATTTGCTTAACAGGTTGCTGGTTATAGCATTACAAACTGAGCAAGATCAAGAAAGAGAAAAGCCCCCTTTCTCTCTCCCTTCAGCAAATCTCCAGGAATGAGAGAAAAGATTGTTTTGAAAAACCCATATCCACACTGAAAGCTAAGGAACAGCACCCCCAGGAGTTGCCAGACTTTTGGGGACCTTCCTCAGTATGAGTTGCCCACAGAAAAACCAAAGCGAAAAGCAACATGTAGAGCAGTGTGTAAAAGGTGGCGGTGTCCTGTGCCCACAGGCAGGAGACACCAGGGAAGAGGGCACCTAGAACAATCAGCAAGGTTGGCAGTCTCACTGTGGGTGCCAGGGGCACACAGGGGTCAGACCCTAAAACCCTGCTCTGTCTGTCATCTTTGTGCATGAGTGAAGAGGTATTAGGTCCAGGCAGTGTGTGCTCAGCCTGAGAGAACCTGGCACCATCCTGGACACACAACACCTGCACAGCCAGGCTTATATACCCCAAAGGAGGGGTGACATTTACCTTTACCAGCCCAAGAACAAAGATACGCGTGCAACTTCATGAATGACTCCCGGGAGCTACCCAAAAGAAACTGAGTGTGCCACGTTCTCAACGGGAGCAAAGGCTACCTTTAGCAGGTCCTAAGAACAGAGAGCCAAGACTAGACATCACTGAGGGACAACCTGGAACAAAGGGAACCAAGATCATCAGAGGAGCAGAAAGAAATGCTTTGAAATCTATATTAGTCTGTTTAAAAATATTCATTGTGATCGTATCCAGACCAGGGTGCCATAAAAGGAGAATATTTAG